AATTTTATATTGGTTTTTATATTAAACTATCTGCTAAATTCTCCTACACATTCTAATAATTGTAGAATTATTCTACACACATGATCATAGTATCTGTGGATATGGGCAGTTTTTGTTTCTTTTCAGTCATAATACGTTTTATTTGCTTTTTCTTGCTTCACAGTTCTGGACAGGATCTTCAGACAATGTTGAATAGATGTGATAGTAGATATTTTGGCTTTATTTCTTATCTAGGGGTAATTTAAATTTTACAAATAAGTGTGATATATTTTATAGTTTTTAATAGACATGTTTCATCAGATTAAGAAGGTTCCCTTTCAGTCCTAGTTTGCTAAGTGTTTCTTAGATATTGAATATCAAATGATTTTTCTGCATTTGTTGGGGTGATCATTGGATTTTACTCTCTTACTATGTTAATGTGATGAATTATATTAATTGACTTACTTTTTATGATTGATCTTAAAATCATAATATATTCACATATTCCTGAAGCCTCTGCCTCTTTGAAATAATGGATATTAAAGCTTCTGAAAATCTCAAAGGCTCATTCAACCCTAATATCTGGCATTTTTTCCTAATAATTCCTGTGTTTTTATTATGTGCCCAGAGGCAGGATAGCAGAATGTTTAAAGAGCACATTTTCTAGAACTCAGTTGTTTGAATGCTGTTCCTGGCCATGTCATTTATCAACTGAGTGACTTTGGTAAATTTCTTAATCTCTTTGCACTCAGCTGTAAAATGTGAATGTTGCTATATATACACCTCCTAGAAGAATTATACCTGTAACATTCTTAGAACCATGATAGGCCTTTGTAAGTGCAATRTGCTAACTTCTAAAGTTTTTATGTTTATGTCACTCACTTGAATGAAGAATTTGAAAGCTAGAAATATAGTTCATAGCTTAACAATTGAAACCAGAAATAGAAGCCATTTAGCAGAAATAATGGTTTATCTTTAAGGCTTAATAATTTACACAGATCCAAGATGAAATGAGATAGGACTAATTAGCATTATTTTAGCAGCCATTCACTGAGCAGTTTCTGTGCCCTTAGTCTTGAGTACTTCTAAAACATCCTTGGTAACTAACTCACAACAATGTGACTGTACTTAATACTATAGGACTGTAACTTTAAAATGGTTTAAATGGTAAAATTTATCTTTCGCATCATACAGTCTATTCTAATTCATCCTCTCAAAATGCCTATGAGGTAAGTATTATTTCTATTTTAAGTGAGAAAATAGAGTTAGAGGAATTTAATAACTTGCCCAAATTCCCCAGTTAGTGTGCTGCAGAGATCTGAAGGCACGTCTGAACACTTCTGCAGTATGCTCCTCAGAGGGAATACCCTGACTGCTGTGAGGCACTGTTAGAATGGATAAGGTGTCTAATGGTCACAGGACTATGTGGTAGATGTAATGAACTAAAATTGAGGGCTTGTTAGAAACTGTGAAGCCATTTATTTGTATGTAGAACTTCATTCCTTGATTTACGAACGTGACTATATTAATAAGGATGTATTTCACAAGCCCTAGACATACACAGTGATTTATCTTCCTTTGGAATTTTCTATTAGAGGTCAGTTAGGAGTTTTTGAATTTTGGTAATGAAGTATATTCATTTTTATACTTCCTACTACCATAAAAGTTAATATTCCAGATGTTACAGTTGACCTCTGAATTTTAGTTCTTCTGATTGCTGATTACAAGTGCTATACATATTTGGTTTTCATTTGGTGTTGAGAGCCACAGCTGAAGGGGCCCCAGCAAACTTCCAGCTGCCAGCAAACTTCCAGCTGCCAGATGATGATTGGCTCACAGCAGCCCCAGCAAACTTGTAGCTGCCAACTGATTGGCTCCTCTGCGGTGATGATCATTGGGCTGTTTCCCCGCCCTTTCAGACCACGGAGCTGCTCATTGGGGGACTTTTTTTGGCTCTGCTCACCAGACCCAGCCAATAGTCCTCAAGAGCAGGAGGAGTAGGGGAGGTTGAGAGGCTTGTGGGAAGCCGGTGGTGGCAGTTGGGCTCTGAGGGTTTTTCCTGAGGAGCTGTGTGGTGTGGTGTGTGTGTTCTAAAAATAAAGTTCATTTCTTATGACAAGTGGCTCCTGAATTGTGCCCAGCCAGACTGCGGCAATTTGGCATTTTAATTAGTATCTCTTTTATTTTCTTTATTAATAAAAGAAGTGTCTAAAAATGCTTCTTTTTTCCCATTGCACTTTGGATATCATTTTAACTGGTTATCATTTTCATTGTATTGCTATACTTGAGGCAATACTCAGGAATAATCACAGAAATGGATATTTATCTCCTATTCTGCCAACATTCTGACAAAGGAATTTCTTGAACAGTTAAAATTATCTTCTGTGATGGATACTTTTTTTTTTCCTTTTGATACTGGGGATTGAACTCAGGGACACTCGACCACTGAGCCACATCCCCAGCCCTATTTTGTGTCTTACTTAGAGACAGAGTCTCACTGAGTTGCTTAGCACCTCACTTATGCAGAGGCTGGCTTTGAACTTGGGATCCTCCTGCTTCAGCCTCCAGAGACACTGTGATTATAGGTATGTATCTGCAGCCAGCCCTTTGTTAGTTTTAAAGTATTATTTCTTGAAAAATATGGCTGCTTTGGCCCTATTGTATTTACTTATTGGCACTGTCAGTTAACATTTTTTTTTAACCTCAATTTAGTCAACCTACCAATTACTGTGGCTTCACATCAACTTTCTATCCCCATTCTACCAACCTGCATCTTCATCAGTGCCGTAGCTCACCACTACCCTCTGTCCTCAGCTGTCATGCCTGCTAGCTGTGCCTCCATGTTCCTCAGCCTCCAACCTCATCATTCCACATTGTTATTCATTCAGCTGACTGATCTGTACCTCCATAACTCACCTCTCACTCTGCTGTGTCCTTAGTCACCACCCAGTGGTTTACTCTCTGCATAACTCCCAAGGCCTCTCATTCCTTAGATTCTTGTATCTAAGATTCTTGAATCTTAGATTCCTTAGATTCTGGGCCCTCTGACCTGTGCCTGTGTACAGCTCGTGATCCTCCTCACTGCCACCTCTCCAAGCACTATGCTCACTCCTGTAAACCACTAGGGGAAGGAGAGGAAGTTGTTACTCTCATTCTCACATGAGTGCACAGTACAGGTTACCAGAGGCTCAATTGTGATCATGCCATCTCTCTGGCCATGAATGGAATGTGTACTTGTATTTTCATGTATTTTAAAATGTTCTCAGTTTTCATTGCTAATGTGATAAATAGCAATAAAATGCACATAAACAAAATTTCTTTGAGATCCTCAATAATTTTAGGAATATATAAAAGGTTCATGAGATCAGAAAGTTTTAGAGTCACTGTTCCATATGTACAAGAAAAAGATTTTTTTAAAAAAGATAAAAATTTGAGCCAAAGACAGGCAAGTCATTTTTTAAAAATTTCTACAGATACACAATAAACATAACTAAAAAGTGTAGTTTTCTAATAAAGACGTGAAAATAAAAAGCAAGATACTATTTTGCTTATTTATCAAATTGATAATAAAAGTATAATAAATAGCTGGTTGAAAGGCATTTTAGCAGAATAGATCAGAAGCTTATGTTTCTTTTGACTCTTTTTGGAAATATGTTCTACAGAAATTATTGAATTATTGTGTCTGAAGAGTCAATGTATTTATCATGTTTTGTTTTTTGTATAATATTAAAAATTCAGAAATTTTCTAAAATCCGGATGATATTAAGAAGAAACTTCTAGCGGAAGAAAAGTACTTCTAAAGTGTTTCCTTTCTTTCTTAGCTGTTTTGGTGGCCACCTAATGCATAATTGTGTGGAACTATGATTAATACGAACCTGACTATCATTTCTTTACGTAGCATGTATAATAAATGTCAAATGATAAACAGTCAGATACAACACATGGAGTAATTTGTGGGTTTGTTTTTTCACCAGAAACATTTATTTTAGCTTTTAAAAACAATTTTGTACCACAGCAAGACAGAAGGGGAGATTGGCCTAGATGTTCCAGAGACTAGCACATGCCCAGTGTAGAGTTCATTTGGGGCACTTTGCCCAGGACACTTTCAATAAAACATACAGTTACTCTAGGGATTTTGAGGCTGTGGTTATATCAGGATTATATATTTATTCCTTTTTTATTTTATTCAAAACATCCATTTACTTACTGCAAGTGGTCAAAGTAGGAAAGGTAGTAATGTTTGTTTTGTGTGTGTGTGTGTGTGTTGTTTTTGTTGCTTGTTTTGGGTTTGTTTTTTTTTCAAATAGATGTGCTCATCTATCTGTAAGCTCCATTTACTTACTGCAAGTGGTCAAAGTAGGAAAGGTAGTAATGTTGTGTGTGTGTGTGTGTGTGTGTGTGTGTGTGTTTGCTGTTGTTGTTTGTTTTGGTTTTTTTTTCAATAGATGTGCTCATCTATCTGTAAGCTCCATTTTATGCATAGCACAAAGTGGGCTTAATATTTCTCTTCAGGTCATTCAGCACTATCATTTTTTAAGAAAACAAATACCTTAGAAACAAATCACAGTCTGCCTTAACAAAGTATAATCATGCTAATGAAAATTTAATCTTTTTGAGAGCTATGGCCAAAATCCAAACTGCAGGACAATCTTTAGGAAAATTGGAATGTAAAGCATTGAGTTCAATTTAAAATAGCATCAAAGTCTTCATCATCATCTCCAATGTCATGAAAATGAATTCATCATCTCCAGGACCGAATGTATCAGGTTCATTGATTTCAGCCTGCTCCGGAAGCTCGACGTAAACACCAGACTTCTAGCTTCAACTGCATTGTATTTTAAAATTACATCAGCTTTGTTATTCTGGTTGTCTTGGATTTCCGTTTTTCTCAATTTCCCTCTGATGTGACAAACCTCTTCACACCATTGAAATTCATGCTTCTAATGGTCCATTTCCCATCATTCTGATTCCCTGAGCGCACTCTTGCCTGTCCTCCTCCTCCTTTACCTTCATTCTTGGGCATGGCAGTGAAGGTGAACTCCCAGAATGTCCGATTTCCCTCCTATTGCATGGGGGCGCGGCGGAGGGCGCTCCTCAGAGCAGCTAGATGGGCCATACAAAGAGCACCCAGGACCACGCAGGCTCCTGGAGGCCGAGTTGTAGGACCAGAGAGTTTGCAGAGCTCTTCCAAGAGTCTGGGTTCTACCGATCTCCGCCCGCGCCCAAGGTCACCAGCAGCAAATGACTTTTGCCATGTTTATTCTTTAAAAGGAAAATTTGCAAGGTATGTGGCTATGACTTCATATTTTACAGCAGTTACTGTAATCCAGCCATGGAAATTTTCTGGGTGGGGGCTGAATTTTCCTTAGTATTCAAACTGACTTACTCAGGTAGGAAAAGTGTTTTGGACTTCCTTGCTCTAAAACATCATGTGTTCACCAGTTCTTTCAAAGTGAAAGTCAAATATTAAAAAATCTAAACTAGGAATTGAAGGATTATTTTTATGAGAAGAATTTTTAATCTTACTATTTTTAAGGCTTTTCTTTGTGTACTCAGGAAACATTCTGGTCTTTAAGAAAAAATAGATTTTAGAAATGCTGTAATCTATTTTGCTACCTTGTAAGTTAGAAATGCTGATTAGCCTTGAAAATTGGAAGGAAAGGGCTGAGGTTGTGGCTCAGGGGCAGAGCACTTGCCTAAGCACTTGCTTCACTTGTATGAAGCACTGAGTTGGATTCTCAGCACCACATAACAAATAAATAAAGGCATTGTGTCCATCTATAACTAATATAAATATTTTTTTAAAAAATTGGAAGGAAAAATACCAACATGGTAACAGAGCTAACATGAGTGATTTTTTCCCCCATTTTGCCCCCAAATTTCAATATTATGTTCATTACTTCATTATTTGTAATATTATTTATTAAGCCCCGCAAACAAAGTAGCTTTAAGAAGCACTGGGCATTAAAAAGGATAAGAAGATTCCCAAATAATTATTCTATGTACAGTAATATAGTAGCTTGCTTTTGTTTTGAAGGGATTTAAATACAGGTTCTTCCTATAGTGTTTTAATTGAGCTGTTAAACATTCCAAGTTTTCTAATAAAACTAAGTTATTATATGTTTGTTACACATGTGTTGGTGAGAAGAGAACAGTTTTCTAACACATCAAGGTACATATAATACTAATAGCTAGGTATATATAATACTTACCTACTAGTCTACTCATTTAATTACATATTATGTTTTTATAGTTAAAACAATGTCCGTAAACTTCGAAGCAAGTATACAGTTTTCAAAAAGAAGCATCAAATAATAGCTGAATTCAAAGCAGAATGTGGCCTGTTGCAGTGGACAGAAGAACTTCTTAAGCAACATCATGAAAATATCCAACATCTGCTGGTCATATGGTATTATATTGGGCTGCTGTAAATAAAAATGCCAGGTGGTTTATGGGTTACAGTTTTATATTGAGGTCATTGTTTTTACTGGGAAAAAAACATAAAAATTATTAGTTTTCTCTGATTAACTACAGAGATGTCATATAAATGAATTCATTTATTTTTAATGTAGCAGTAAGCACAACAGTACTACGTTAAAAATATGTGTTCTCACTTTAGGGTTACTAATAGAAGCTGAAGTCCAAATAGGTTTTTTGTTTTGTTAACTAGTTAATATGGGAAGAGAATGACTGTAAAATATTTATTTATCATGGCCTCCTGGGTAGGAATTTCTAAGCATGTACTTCCAAGGAGCTTTGGAAAGAAATATTCAGGAAGGGTGCTCTGTGGAAGTTTACCTGGAGGCTTATCCCTTATGTGTTTGTGGTGTAATTATCAGAAAAAAAGTTAAACCCAGAGTAGTAATGAACAAAGCTCTTCTCGTGGATGCCAGTGCCTTTGAGTTTTCTTGGTTTGACTTTTTTCGCCACTCATGGGTAATCAGTTTCATCAGGATGCTGATCACATGCTAGCAATAGCTGGTAGAGGTAAATGGAATTTCAACCAGTTGTGGTTCCTTTTAGCTGACAAGATGAACTTTTCTGTTTCATGCTGATTAATAATTGTTTTCTTCTAGAAAATGTAAAAGTGAAAATTTACTGTTTATCAAACAAGTTCTAACAGCACTAACTTTAAAATTGATAGTAGCAACTGCATTGTGACTTCAAATTATTTTCTTATTTCCATTGTGTGTTTTTGTTGCTGTTGTTGTTATTGATTTACCTATAATTATTTCTTCAAATCCAACATTTGGAGATTTTCAAGTTACTATTCTGTTATGGGTGTCCAGCTCATTTCTACTGTAACCAGAGGACATACTTTATGATTTCAGTCCTTGGAAATTTGCTTATTCTTGCATTATGGCCCAGCACATGGTCTGCATTGGTAAGTATTCTATGTGCAATTGAAAAGAATGTATATTTTACAGTGGTTGGGAATCATATTCTATATATGTAAATTTAAACAAATGTGTTAACCCTCATACTCAAATTGTCCATACCCCTTTTGATTTTTTAGTCTGCTTCTTGCATCAGTATGGAGAGAAATTTCTTAAAAATTTTAACTGTGATTATTGCTTATCTATTTTGACTTTACGTTCTTGACACAACTTTTTTGTTTTATATTTTTTTCTTAAGTTGGGTTCCTTGGAAATAGAGCCAAGAAGGGAATTCCTATACAAGTGATTTTGTGAGGTAGTGCCTCCAGAAGGAAGGAAATGGATCAGCACAAAATAGCCACTAAGGACCAGGTCTCAGTTGGAGTCAAATTCATTCTGATTCCTGGAGGAAACTGAGCAAATTGCACCACAGAGTTGATTATACTTTGAGGCAAGGAGGTTGGCCATTCATAGCCCCGTGTCAGTCAGTCATCAGCTTTGATAGGGGAAAACTTCTTAAGTGAGGAAGTTCCCAGTTGGCTGAGGGCATGCTCTGCAGAAGTGGGCACTTGTGAACCATTAGCAGTCAGCACAACAGTTTGCAGGTGAGGTATGAGTGGAGAACAACATCCACTAAGTCCACCTCTTCCACTGTGGAAATCGGCTTATTTCTCACATTAAACTCATGGCACAAAATATACCTTCTACAAGATTCTGATTGGTCAAAATTTCTAGTAGGAAGATTAGTACACAAATTGAAATTTTCTTATTATATTTGTTCCTGAGGACATAATAGATAGTCAGCATCTCCTTCCTCTATTCCATGGCTGAATGTCCCCTCCAAAACTCAGGTTGACATTTAACTGCCAGAGCAACAGTGTCGAGAAGCAGAACCTTCATGAGGTGATTAGAGAATGCATGAGGTCTCTGCTCTCATGACTGGATTCATATTGTCATTACTGGTTCACTTAGGGAATTATGCTTCCCTTCCAGACAATGTTAAGCTCTGTGGGTTTAGATGTTCTGCTCCCCAGAGTAGGTATGCTTGTGTTATAAGGCTCTCAAAACTTAGTGCTCTAGGGCTTGGGATATAGCTTAGTTGGTAGAATGTTTGCCTTCTGTGCACAAATCCCCGGGTTCAATCCCCAGCACCACACATACTTACCAAAAAACCCCACAAAACTTAGTTCTCTGACTACCATCTGATTACTTGGGCTCTTCATGCCAACAATCCAGTAAAAAATGTTATATTGGCAGAATATTATAAAGTATATAAAGTGTATAAGGTGTTACACACATTGCTATATAATGGAGACAGAAATAAATCATTTGGTACTTAGGTAATTTGTTGAGACATCTTGCTACTGTCATGCAAAATTTTAACTGTAACTGGGCAAGTCCAGCAATCATGGCCTAATAAGGGTACAGTTTTTATAGTCTCCCACCTCCCAAGGTTGAAGGACTGGGTCATCCTACCAGTAATTCATCTTGATCAGAAGCAGTCATCTAGATGAGAGGCAGTTCTAGCTGAAGGTGAGGGAAGCCTTGAACACATGCCTTTATACATTTTCTACTTCTAGAACAGAATACCACTGACTGGTAAATCAGAAATATAGAAGTTTATTTGGCTCATATTTCTGAAGGCTGGGAAGTCCAAAGGCATGGATGGGTCTTGCATCTGTTAATGCCTTTGTGATGTGTCATAACACAGCAAAAAGGCAAGCAAATACAGAAAAGACAGGAAAATCAGGTCAAACTCATCCTTTTAATCAGTAACCCACTCCCACAGGAGCTCAGGATCGGTCTCTGTTGCTGGTACATCAGACACTGACAGTGGCTACATGAACACTGGTGAGGAAAGAGAGCCCAAGACTGTTTGGCCCTGACATAGTCTCCATCCCTGCCAACATAGTGATTCTGTTCAGGAGCCCATTAGCCAAGCTTTGAGTGGTCAGTGACAGAAACTGGTTGACATCCCTGGCCAAGTCATCCTTTCCTTCTGGTTGTTCAGTGTCTTTTCTGCAGTGGGCATTCCCTGGTGGACATGTGATGAAAAGGTGATCACACTAAGTGCCTACTCCCATAGGTCCATTCACATGCCTCTTCCCTACACCTTCCTGTCCTCAGACTTCCGGTATTGCTATCTTGCTTCTTCTAAACTCCTGACCAGCAATCTAGCTATTTGATGTTCCCCAGAGCATACAGGTTAAAATGGGATTGAAGCATCTCAAGTGAGTGTGTGGAGATACCCCATCCTGGAATCTCCACCTGTTCCCTTCTCCATCAAGACCCTGATTTTGGCATAGAATAGTTTCCTAGACTTATATAGCTCAGCTTTCTCTGAAAATTTGCCTGTCTTATAGTTAAGTACTGTGTCCAGTTTTCAGTTCCCTCTGCCCTTCAACAATAAGAAATGAGGGCTTATTTAAAACCCCCTAAGGAGGTTCTCTGACTTTGCTTTAATTTACTGATTAATGGATATGAACCTGTCATTTTATTTCTTCAACCATCATAGAACTTAGCAACATTCCATTGTCCGTAGTGTTACCGTTTCCCCTCAAAAGCCAGTTCACCCATCCTTGTATCAGTTCAAATCCTCTAAAAAGCACACACCAAAATAGGATTAGATGTTTATTGAGGGGAACACTTGTAAAGAA